ACGAGACTCATACTCATACAAACCCTAACTTTGACATCGAAGTCTCTGTTGCAGGTACCACCCCCATCTTGGAACATCAAGCGTACCAGTGAAGGAGGCTCACCAATCTTACTCGGAGGATCATCTCTACGGCAGATTTCCGATAAAAACATTATATAACAGTTATAAATTAATGTATATAATAACAAGTTTATATAACTAATATATATGATATTTGAGAGAATTATTAAATAATGTTATCTTCAACATTTAATCTTTGATAATGAAGATTTTGAGACCATAGAAGTTAGTTAATTTACAATTTTACTTACATTTGTGAATATGTGTTGCTTTCTACATTGCGGTATGTAATATTTGGTCTATGTTTCATTCTTCGAAACTTCATTACGTGATAATGAAAATATCATTTTTATACAATTAATGATTTATATATTTTGAAGCATTAAATCATAAAATTATATAATTTATACTATTAATAATTAATATTGTCTTAAGTATTTGTTTTGTTATTAAAAAATTGATAAACTAAATGTAAAGTTATAATTTATTTGAATATATAAGATAAAATAAAAAGATTAATTTAAATTGTAAAATTACCTTTAAATTGTATCATAAAATATTAACCTTTTAATTTATTATAAACATTTCAATGTTGTTAATTTGATCAAATATTTGTATTTCAGTAATGCTCATTGATGAATTATGAAAACTTTTAGCTTCCTTTGAATCCCATTAGGGACAATGTATGATATTAAATTAAGTACGTTTTTTTTTAATGCCTATGAGAGTAATGAAAGGTAAACATATGATATTCAAAAAATACTTTAATAGATAGAATGAAAAAAAAAGCTATTTATAAATTATGACAAAAAGAATTTAAAAATTTAGAACTTATACTAAATGCTACCACGAACTCATGAATGATTTAGCTCATTTTGAAATTGAAACTTACCTTCTATATATATATATATTTATTTGCATTCGAATAAAAGACTTTATGCGTTTTTATTATTGAAACGACTGTATTTATTATTTTTATTATTAATTTTTGTGCGTTTCAATTTTGTGACGTTTATCAATTGATAACACTGTTTTAAAAATTCAAGAGCCATTCCAGGCTTTAGTGTTAAAATTCCAAGGAAGACGTTACGAGATTTAGGATTTAGGCTTTAAACCTTTTTTTTTTAAATATTTTTTTAATTTTAGTTTTTAAAATTTAAATCAATAACTAGAGAAATAGATACTTCTGTAAATAGTACTATTAAAAAAAAAGTGGTGTCAAATATATTGAATTGACTTGACCTAACTTGATCTGTATGGGTCAAATGTTATTTTAGGTTAAGTTACTCTAACTTACATCTTTTGTTTTAGTTGTCATTTTTTGACTCAACTTAACCCAACGTTTTCTACGAATTTTTCATAAAAATTCGTATGAAAAATCGCATATAATAAAATAAATTCTAGTAGTGTATGTTATGAACTTTTAAATTAATAAAAAAAATATTTAAGAATTTAAATTAATATTAATAACATATTTTAAAACTTTTTAACAACATTATTATTAATTAAATCTTATATATTAAACACTAATCTCTATCTTGTATGAGTAGTTTTAGATACTTTTCTTCAATGAGAGAATTTGTAGAGATTTTTTTTTCAAATATTTAAGAATTAAATATTAATGTTTTAAAATAAATTATTAATAACTAAAAATATATTTTTTTATAAAGACAAATTATTTATAATAAATGTAAAATATAATTTATATATTTAAAA